GTGAGAGATTTTTACTGTAGCAAAAAAAATTAGATGTAATTATGTATGAGAGCTTTTTATTGTAACAAAACTCGAATTCTAAACTCGAATCAGTAAAATAAACGAGGTCTTAGTAAACACCCATTAAGAAAAAGAAAAAAAAAATCAACAAACTGAGTTATGATTGTCGTAGCGGTATGATTAGGAAATTTGTCCTTTTCCCTTGAAAATCACATCATATCATAGGAGAAATTTTATGGTGGATTCCCCATTTGTGATCCATCAGTAAAATATATTTTAAACTGTTATTTTAAACTTTTAACAATTACATCGGTATAAGTCTGTATTAAAAATTTATAATGCACTTCGTAAAATTGTTTTGACTACAAATCTAACAGTTAAATAATTAATCTTACATACTTACTTACCGATGGATCACAATATTAGGATGAGAGAAGCCGATATCATAGTCATATATTTACAGAACCCAAAAAAAAAAAAAAAATTGCTGGAGTAGAAGCGAAATCGAGCAACCATGGGAAGACGGTCGAATCCGATTAGAAGAAATTTATATCCCATTAGTTTTTAGGAAGAAGAAGAAGAAGAAGAAGAAGGGGAAGAAGAAATGGAGAAGATGAATAATGCATTGGAGAGAATGAAGATGCTTGTCGGAATGGAAGTGGAAGAAGAAGATACTACTGCTGCTTCCGACTCTTTCATCGACGATTTCAATCGCAATTGCACTTTGTCCACTAAGCAGGTTAGCTTCGCCTTAGGTTAGGTTTTTTTGTTTTTAATTTAACTTTCACTGGATCAGATCTGGTCATTCTAATCCCTAATTTCATTTTGTGTGTCTAAAATTTCAGAGGTTTTACGGATTCGCCATATGCCTGGCTGCCGGATTGACATGCACTCTTCTGGTAATTTTCTGATCGTCATTGGTGATTTGTGATGATTAAGTAAAGTTAAGAATATTAATAATTGGGGATTGATTCGATTCAATCGCCATTTCATTCATGTCATGTGTTTGTTGTTTGTTGTTGGTTGAAATGGCAGTCAATGGTCGTGTTCTTGAATCCCATAAAGTTCGGAATAACGTTCACACTTGGGAATTTGCTTGCTCTGGGGAGCACGGCATTCC